GTTTGGTATCATCGAAACGTTGGACTGCCGTTTCAGGCACAAATGCGTCCGCATCGGATTGTTGGACCGGCGATTGAACCACACACACCCCGGAATTGGAACCTTGGTCCGGCGTATCAGCCACGTATGGTGCAGGAATTATCGTGTCACAGGGGAGATCCATCTGAGGTACTATGGTAGTGCAAGAAGACAGCGAAGGAAGGATGGTGGAAGGTGAAGAGGGTGGGATGTTTGTGGGAATATATGGTACGCGGTGGATGGGGAGTAATTAAGGTAGTGGGTGGAGAGTAATTAAGGTAGTGGGTGGGGGGATTAATTAGTTTAGGTGTAGGGGTAATAAGTGAGGGTAGAAGATGGGAGGGTATATTGGTATATTTAGAGTAAAAAGTTTCCTTAAATGGAAAGGAGGACAGATAAAAAAAAACGTCCCAAAAAGGAAAGAAGGACTTTTATTAAAGAACGGAGGGAGTATCTATTTTCTTATGAGATAATTACATATATATGATTAAAATAAATGTTATTTTAAAAAATGCAGCATCGTGAATGTAATGATTATATTATTGTAATAATTTAATTATAGTAGCTCATGTTCATTAATTATACTTAAGTAATTATTAGATACTATATTAACATATATATAATCATATTTTCGTAAAAGCTCTTTCCTAATTAGGACTTTTACTCATTTTTGCATTCACTTATTTACACATTTGTTTACAAATTCAACCTCATTCAATTATAAAATATGAACTTAATAAATTGATTAGAATGAAAATTCACTTTTACCGGTCCATTTAGTATTCATTTTTTTTTAAATTTATTAATTTTATTTAATAAAACCAAATTAGGTGTTATGTAAATATTAATTGCGAGTATTTGTTAATTAGTTAGTTAGTTAATTTCTTTATCTACCAATTTATTTTTCGGAACATTCTCACCAATTTATTTAGAAAAAATTTCAATAATATAGTTCATAGTGATGAACAAAAATATAATTTTTTTTATCATCAAAACAAACCACTAGACCACTTATATTAATATTTAATATCATTAGGAATCAGATCGTTACAACAAACTCAAAAAGACCAACCATGACAACAACTGTCCCTAACTAACTAGCACTATCAACCTTACGACTAAACTCAGAGTCGATCACCCCTAAAAGAACAATATGAATTGCTAACCACCAAGCGGGTATGACACAGTAATCACTGGCCATATAGATCTTTCTAATGACATAATATCTAATAGAATTGTCAATTATAATTGTAGACCTAAAACTAAAGACATCAACAAAACCCTACGTTGATTAGGGTTAGAGAGACATTAGAGCCTCTAAAAAAAGACAAAAATATAACTTAAAAAGCTTTTAATGATTATAATTATATTCTCAATTTACACAATGGTGACTATATGTAATTACTACTCTCTCAATCTCAAAATGATGATCCTGTGTCTCCTATTTGGACTGTCCCAAAATGATGATCTTGTTTCCCATTTGAGTAAGGAAATTAAAGTAGGTTATCATTTATACCCCTACTTTTTATGAACAATAAAAGTAAATGAATGAACAATGCAATAAAGTAAAGTTATATGAGTCATTCTATCCCACTTTTTTAATATTTGAACTCAAAAAAATAAGATCATCAATTTAGGATCAATTTATAGGGAGGGAATATTATCTGAATGTTTTTTTGAAAGTTTATCTAAATCGTTCTATGGCTTTTTATTAGAGATGTGTTGGTAAAAATCTCATTTATTTATGTCCCCGAATAGATAAAGTGATAAACACAAGATATCATCAAATTCAACGGGACAGTCCACAGCACACATTCGAGAGTTCTCCAGAACGTTCCATGCCATTCCACCGTCTTCTTAAAATCCCTTGCCATCATATCTCTGAGATCAGCAATTTTCACTCAATCAGAAACCCTCGTTCTTCCCTAACCCAAATCCGTCTTCATCACTGTGTGTGTTTGACCCCCAGCAAAAATGGCATCTGAAGCAGAGGACTCGGCGAACATGGAGTTCTCTTTCTTGTTACCTTTCCTATTGGACTTCCCAACCCCAGATCAGGTTCAGGAATACCTAACCAGCTCACCCGATTCTCCCGGCCGGATCATCCTCATCAACCCGGTGACCCGAGGGGTGTTGATAATAAATGCTGTACCGGGCGATTTGTTTAGTAAAGATGGGCATCCTCCGGCTTCAAAAGCTTCCATTGATGCTCTGCGAAGTGTTGAGGTCAGTGGAGAAGAAGGGGAGAAACCGGAGTGTGTGATATGCTTAGAGGAGCTGGCGATTGGTGGGGTCGCCAAGGAGATGCCATGTCAGCACAGATATCACAAGGACTGTATAGAGAAGTGGCTGGGGATCCATGGATCTTGCCCTGTTTGTAGGTATGAAATGCCTCCAGAGGTGGAGAAGAAGGAGAAGAACAGTGATGTAGTTAGGAGGGGAGGGGTAGTGGTGGGTTTCACCGTTAGTCATCGGATAGGCGGGGACGTTGGTAGATCTGTTCCCGATGAATCTGATGAAGAAGAAGAAGAAGCTTAGATACGATTTCTTCTGAATTCTTTACTTTTGCCCCCTTTTGAAATTTCATGTAAATAGCAGCAAAAGATGTTATTTTTCGTCGAGTTCAATGAATCCAATTCTTGGTTTATGATTCATTTATGTGGTCTCTATTGCATCAAAATTATTTTTAAAGTTTTCTTGAAATTTCTACTCTTATTATGTTTAGCATTGTATTTAATTAGTTATTAGTGGTTGGACAATAAAAATAGAAAAGCAATTTATTCATCTATCATACTTCTTCCATTCACAAGTTTGATCTTCTTTGTGAATGCACCATTTTAATTATTAATAATCTTATACACTTTAGGAAGTTTTTAAAGGAAAGAGACAGTATTTAATTGATTATTGTTCAAAATTATAAAAAAAATGGCATACGTATTGAGAATATATTTATATTTATTGTGAGACAAATTAATAATAGTATTCAAACTAAGTTTTTTATTTTGTACGAAGTAATAATATTAAGGTAAAATATGTAGTAAGAAATTTGGTATTCACCCTCCATATTTGCCCTATATTATACTTTGGGCTCCCATTTGAGGTGTTTTCCGAAATTGAGGTATAGAAGGGTTGAGATGAAATATTTCCCAAAACTGTTTTTATTTGTTTGGTTTCAGATTCTTTTTGTGTGAGAGCTGTTATTCTCTGATAACAACAAAAGGACAGAGCTTTTTCAAAGGGAATATACTTTGAAAAGAAAAGATTCATTCTGTAATCAGTTCATTTACACACATAGTTTTACAAACAGAACTCGCTGGTAAAAAGAACCAGCCGCTTCTTCATATATAGTTTCCAGACACCAGTTATAAGTTTATAACCATTTGCAGCTTTAATTAAGCATCAAAGCCGTTAACACACTTAACATTCAAATCAATAATCTCCATAAATCCCAACTTTTTGAACTTATCTTCATTATTACCAAAACTGGACTGGAATCTTTTATGGGATGATGGGTTTTCAACAAAATCATCAAAAGAAGCCATGCTTCTGTTCCTTTTCCTGCCACTATCATCATCATCATTATCAACTAACCCCTTTTGCTTCCTTGGATGCATTTCCATCAGTGAAAGTTCAACAGAATTATTGTATACCCCCTCATTGTCTTCCTTAATCCCAGCTGAGGTTTCAGATGATGTGAGGGAACTTTCAAGTGAACACCCCATGCCAGTTATGAGCTGTTCTTGTGTTTGGTATGTGCAGTTTGATAGAGAGCATCCAATTTCTGTCAATGTTGATAATGATGATAGCTCTGCTTGAACTGAAGGACTGTATCTGGACAGTGCTTCATGCGCTTTCTTCAAAACAGCCTGAAGATACTTCCCCTGAGATTCAATTCTCATCTGGAGTTGTCTCTGCACCTGAAATGTACATACACCTTATTTTAATATGATACACCCGGGCCAGAGCTCATTTCATGCAGAAACCGGCTTATGATGCTTATGTAGAAGTTGGTACAATGGATGAGAACTATCCGTATAGGTTATTTTAATAATATCCACAGTATATAATTTTTTTTAACTAAATATACTTGATGTTCCTAATATAATAGGAAGTACTCCGTACATAATAGGAATAGGAATATTCATAATAGCATACAGGTCAAATTGATGCTAAAAAGTTGAATCCAACTAATAATGTAATTTAACCTCTGATGTTATTGTTGGCATGAAACCTATTAAGACTTGGAATTTAATAAATTCCGAGTCTGTGTAACAGTTGTATACTAGAATTGTCAACCATATTCACTGTGTTGAAATCCAATATAATGGATAGTAAGTTTATGTAGGACAGGAGTCTAAACAATAGTAAACTGAATAATAGTAGGACTAGGAAAGAGAGAGTAACAATAGTGTCCACCTAAATGCATTAGTATGAGGTCTTTTAGAAAAAGGATGACACCCCATCCCTGAGGGCCCCCCAACACCGACCGGACGGCACGATGGGAGGATGTAAATTGGACTATAATCACAATCTGACAGATAGAGAGTGTGGCTCTTTCCCCGGTACTTACAGAGGCCCTATGCATTTTCAGCATAGTAACCTCTCATCGTAATTGCCGGGATTCGAACCCGAGACCTAACCCTTGTGGCACTCCCTCGCTACACCAGTAGTATGAGGTCTTTTAGGAGGTGCCAAAAAACAACTATGTGAGTTTGGTCCAAAGTGGATAATAGCATACTAATGCAAGAGTTAAGATGACACATGCAGTCCTTAAAATTACATACTACTCCCTCCGTCCTGTACAGTGGGATTGTGGTCTAGAAAGAAAAAGGTAAATGAAGGTTAGTCACACAAAACTTTCCAAAAAGGAAAATGAGAAGAATTTTTGGAGAGATCCAAAAAGGTAAATGGGAAGAATTTTAAAGGATATAGGAGTAGTTTTTTGTGTTTTTTCTTAATGTGGGACACTCATCAGTCTTTAATATTTTGGGATCATATGAGAAATGGGGTTTACCTGAATTTGTTCCTGTAGTTTTTTCTGCACTTCCATTTGCATCTCCAATGCTTGAGCTATCTTCATGCTTCTGAAACCATAAGAATCCTTTGTTAATAAGAAAAATATTTTCTTTGCTTTAATGAAGCTCTTGTCCATGTAAAATGGAAAAACATTTACTCATTTATTTGATGATTGTGGGCTCCATCATAGCTTTCTGAACGTGATTGGCTTTCCTGACTCTGAGATTGCTGGAAATCTGCCCCAACCCAAAGCCCTTTTAATTAAACCCACCGTTTTCATTTCTAGTCTTCCTTCATAAGTCAGCAAACTCAAGGAGTCAAAGATTTCTTACCTTGGCTGTATTCATGGTCGCAATTCAACTGATGGCTTTTCCCTAGCCGAAATTTCTGCAGAAAAGATGATTAGTCAGATCGTTCGTTCTTTTTCTTCTAAGTTTGATGCTTTTGTTGGAAAAGAAGAAGAAGAAGAAGAAAGCCTGCCTGCAAATGACTCTTGAGATGGTATAAAGTAAGGCCATCAATGTTCATTACTCTCATCAATGCTTTAGGTGTTGCCTCTGCATTATAAAAAATTATGAAAATGATCAAATATGGGATTAAATTATTTGGATGATATAATATTATATATAAAAACCAAGAAAATAAAATATGTATGTACTCACTCTCTGCACCTCCAAGCTGATTTACTGCTTCTACAAATCTATGGTGAAGCTGTGGAGTCCATTTAAGCCTAGGCTTTGGATCACAGGATAAAACCAAGCTGGTTTCATCATTTTGCAGAGTGGGAAGAAGGGCCATTCTTTGCAGTATGTATGCTGTATGAGGTGATGAGCAAGTAACTTATTTTTATAGCTTGAAGAAACATAAATTGGAGAGGGAAGATAAACAGGGGTGATTCTTCTCTTCTGCCCTTAAATGTGTTTTGTTTATATAAGTGGAAGTGGTTAGGCTGTCTAAGACTGCTTCTCACTCCATATCTGGAAACATAGTCCAAATTCTGTTCGGAGGGGAATATATTCCATGACTTTTGTCCCCTTCTTTTCTTCCATTTCCCATTTCACATCAAGCTTTACTATTATTAATATGAGTTTTGGTATAAATATAATTAATTAAAGGAAAAGTTAAAAGCAAAATTGTGATTATATTTATTTTTGTATAAAGTACTAAACATGTCAAAAATATAATTAAGGGAAAAGTTAAAAGTAAAAATATGTCTACTTTTAATTTTTATATAGTCATTATGTGAGTCATTCCCGCAATGGTGTCATACGATGTCACCGCCATTTATACCATGTCACCGCCTAATAATAAACACTCAATCAAATCAAATCAGAAAGATCAGAAAGATTCAGATTAGATCAAATCAGACTAGACCACAAAGATTCAGATTAGACTAGACCAGAAACATTGAGATCAAATCAGAAAAATTCAGATCATATCATATCAGAAAGATTCAGATTAGATCAAATCTTAATAAATTCTTATCAGAAACATTCAGATCAGACGAAGAGAACCACTTCTAAGAGGGATTTTAGACTCGATTTTGATGCGTCTTATGTACCTGGATTTGCTTCAGGGGGAGCCATCTTAAAGAATTGTCTTGGGGAGCTCATCTGGGCTACTAGTTTCGCGTTTCGTGATTCAGGCTTCATAGAGCGAGGGGATTGAATTGAAAGCCTTGAGTATAGCTTTTGAATTCGCGATAGAGACGGGGTTTGTTGATTTTCAGATGAAAATTGACGCTTCTTGTACTATCTCTTTGCTCTTCGATAAGAACTAGGAAAGCGTATTGATTGGATTCGGGCATTTAAGAGGAAGGCAGATGAAATGGGCTGAAAACTGACGCTTCTTGTACTATCTCTCTGCTCTTCGATAAGAACTAGGAAAGCGTATTGATTGGATTCAGACATTTAAGAGGAAGGCGGATGAAATGGGCTTGAAATTTTGTCATATGTTTATAGAAGGGAATTTCCCAGCTCATTTCGTAGCGAGTCAGAATTTTAATCCAGCCCACTGCACCTTATACGATCAGGTGGGCCACTGGCCCTATGATGTTAGAAGATGCTATTATGCTGATTTGTTTGGTTTTCCCTACTCCAGATTTGAATTCATGTATTTTGGCTCCCAAATTTGTGTTTACTATTATATTCCTGTTTTTAAGAGGTATGCCTCTTAGGAGATATTTTGGTTTGGCCCTCCTTCCCTTCTGTATTTTATATTTATTTATTAGTAAAACACAGTAAATGTTTCATGACATTTACCCTACCAATGAGTGGTTTGTCTTCCGGGTTTAAAAAGAAAAGGATCGTTAGATTGTATTTTGTGAAGCTGGAATGTGCATTAAGTGAAATTGAAATGTGCAGCAAAAGGGTACATCACAATGGCATTATGTGACTCTGAATTGTGCATCAAATGAAACTGAAATGTGCATTAGGTGAAACCGGAATGTGCATAATAAAAAGTATGATACAATGACAATTTTGTATCTTTTGTTTTGCACATTTCACCTAATGCACATTAGAGTTTTACCTTTAATTTACACCTCTCAATTTCATCTAATGAATATTTCAGTTTCACCAAATACACAATCCAGTTTCATATATTACAATCTGACAGCCCATATTCATCTCATTTTTCTCATGTGAATCCTTTCTCAATGCATAAATAAGAATAAAATTTAGGCAGTCACATAATCAATCGGACGATCATAATATACAAATGTATAGACCATACTTTAGTGTTATTAATTGAAAGGATTTAATGACGAGCAATACTATTTAAATTGTATCTACCGTTAGGATGTCTTTGTAAGGAGCCGTGCTAATTAGTTAAAAAGCCTACCCGTGCATACATAGAGGATGTTTGGAACTGATTCTGCTTCTGCTTCTTTTTCAAAAGTAGATGTAGAATCATAATCAGTTTTCAGAAGCTGGTACCTCCCAACTTCTAAAAAACTGATTCTGAGAGTAAATTAGAGCTCCAGAAGTGCTTCTGGAATTTCACCTAAACACTCCAGCTTTTACTTCTGCTCCCTGAAGGAGCAGAATCAGTTTTGAGAATCAGATCCAAACACCCCCATATTCAATGAAGTATTTTCCGTTATTAAATTCCGATTAATAAACATATAAGTTGGAAGATTTAGTTTTCATTTAAGAGAGAATTCCCTAAATATGAGTAAAAATGTTTTGAAATTTCAAAATAGGATTATCATATTTTTTATTCCCTGAATAGGAGTAAATTTTTGCCAAGTTTGATATTAAACATGGCATTTTTTTCAAACTTGACAGATTACTCCTATTTAGGGAATAAAAGACATGATAGTCCTATATTGGAATTTCGAAATGTTTTTACTCCTATTTATGACAATTTCTATTCATTTAAATGTGCAGTATGCTTACGTGCAAGTGCAATACGTACAGATCATGCAATTATTCATTAAGCAGTTGCACTTTCATTTAAATTGTAGTGCACTTACAGGTGCAATAAGAAAAACTTTATAGTCCGTATATTATTTTATTTATTAAGTGGACCGATTTTTACGAAACTCTGGTTGTGAGGTTACCATGCCTAATAGAAGGTTTCGAGTTCGAAACCCGCTAGGCACATAAAAGTTTGAAACTCAATGGAGTGAGTTTAAGCCCTGATTACTCCAGGGTCCCCTAGCCCCCTCCCCCAGACCCCTTGGAGTAAAAAAAATCTATTAAGTTGGAGGATAGTTTGCACCACTTTATAGTTTATACACAATTTACTAAAAGTGCATCATAAGAGAATCCCAATACCATGCACGTTAAGTGCACTTTTATATATTTTTCCTATAATCAATTATGCACTTTTATACATTTGCATTGTAAACATTAAGTGAGTGTATCATGCCCCCCATTATACATATGATTATGCATAATACAGTTTATACTTTAATGTAAACTAAACATATTTAATTTTTAAGTCGGTAAACGTATTATTTATAAATAATAATTTGGTAATTCTTTCATATTCTCAGCATGTTGCACATAGTCATGTTATTTGATTTTTAAAATATGTTCTCAAAAGTGCATTATTGGAGTAGTAAAAATTCGACAAAGGTCGAATTCAAAATATGTAATAAATACTTGTCCTAAATAGGAGTAAAAACGTTTTGAAATTTCGAAATAGGAGTATCATGTTTTTTATTCCCTGAATAGGAGTAATCTGCCAAGTTTGGAAAAAATGTCATGTTTAAAGCCTTGTAGTGTCCAAACTTGGCAGAAATTTACTCCTATTTAGGGAATAAAAAACATGATACTCCTATTTTGGAATTTCAAAACGTTTTTACTCCTATTTAGGGAATTCTCTCTAATAAATACTCCCCTTGTTGGGCACGTTTGGGCTTTAGCTAGCAATTATATTTAACTAAGGGAAAGTTCCAGAAATAGGACTAAAAAAGTTTGGAAATCCCAAAATAGGACTATTTACTGACAAGTTTGGAAAATACTGCCATGTTTGAAGTATGGTACTGCCAAAACATGGCAGTAATTAGTCATATTTTGGGAATAAAAACATGGCAGTTCCATTTTGGAATTTTCAAACTTTTTTAGTCCTATTTTGGATAATATCTTTTTAACTAATTGTAATTAGTTTATACGTATGGGCTTCGGTGCCATTGCTGGAGGATCCAGAGAGGTGACTGCATGTGCGCGCACTCCCCCTCCACCGTGTCCGCGAGCCACGCACTGGGCAGTCTGTCCCCTGCCGCAGGGTTACGTCCCGTTGTCCCATTTTTGTTCCGATTACGTTCTTCCCACCAATCCGGATACCCATAAATTTTGAAATAGGTGCTCACGTCATGACCCTTCTGGCTGTAGTGTGTACACGAGAGCTTAGCCTTTTCCGCTTTATCCATCCTCCCTTTGCCACGGTCCGCCTTTAAAGCAAAGGCCTGAATTTCGGCCGAGTTGGTTTTACTTCGTGCAATTGCACGTGATATTTCTTCTTGAAGAAATGCTTGATGCGCTCTAGCAATATCCGACAGAGGTGTTTGGGACAAAAGGTTCGACCGAACGGTAGCAGAAATCTCGTCATCAATCCCTATCAAGAATTGATGAAGTTGCTAATAATGTAATATTTAGGGATTACTTTGTAATTCTCCATAACTCTATTTTATTATAAATACAAGGCTAAGGCACCCAATAGGGTAAGCCATTATTCCCAAAATCATATTTTTGTATATGATATCAGTCGCCTAGGTTTTTCCCCTTTTCTCTCTCACCATGAACGTCTTAGACATTACTGCCGCCGCCTCCCAAGCGCTCTCTACGCAGGTCGAGCTGCCGCCGATGACTACTGAGATCCGGTCCCAGGCGCCCTCCACTCCGGTGCGGTCTACATCATCAACCATTGTCAGCACGACTCAGTCTGATTCCGGGTCCAACAGCGCCACCAACTCGCAGGCAGCTTCTCTTCCCTTCTCCATGCCGACTGCATCGCAGCCATGGTCCCCACTCGCCCCGTCTCTTTGACAGCGTCTTGATTTTCAGCCTCTTGATTCGTATCGATTGTTTGGCATGCCGGCCCCGTTTACATGGACACCGACAACAAGTCTACCTCCACCACCGGTCTTGAACGCCCCTCCAGATACCGGTCCCTCCTCCATGAGGTTCGCCGGTCCGACCTTCACTACCCAGCCGCAGGTGACCTCACTGCCGCATGAACATGTCTCGGCCGAGTCAGGCTCTACACAATTTACAAGTTCTTTATCTGCTTTATCTTCACAATTGGCTTTCTCTACGCCGGATGTGACTAATATTGTTACTACTCGACTTTCTGCCGTGGAAGATTATTTACCGTGGCGTACCCAATTTGAGTCATTCTTGGTCTCTCACAGTCTTTTGGGGATCCTAGATGGCTCAATTCGGGTACTGCTCGTCACGAATCCGGACTATCACCACTGGTTGAAAATCAACCAAACGGTTAGGTCTTGGATTTTTGCTACTCTGGCTAGGGA